AAAAATATATTTTTATTGATTTTAGAGAGGAAGGAAGAGGGAGAGAGAGACTGAAACATCAGTGATGAGACAGAATCACTGATCAGCTGCCTCCTACTGGGGAACGAGCCTGCAACCTGGGTATGTGCCCTTGACTGGAATCGAACCTGGGACCCTTCAGTCTGCAGGCTGACGCTCTATCCACTGAGCCAAACCAGCTAGGGCCCAATATACTTTTAAATGAATTGTTAGAAATCAGGTTAATTAATGGCAATTTATCAGACAGTAATCATTTAATATGTCAAATCAATTCTTATATACTGCTTAAACCTAATGGCATATTTTAGCACTCATTTATTTTCAAACTAGAGGCCCGGTGCACAAAATTTTGCACTGGGGCACTTCACCCAGATTTGGTTCTGATTGGTTGGCTTCTATGCCAGTCAGTGTCAAAAGCTCTGCCTCCTAGGCAGCCATTGGCTCCTAACACTTCACCCAGATTTGGTTCTGATTGGTTGGCTTCTATGCCAGTCAGTGTCAAAAGCTCTGCCTCCTAGGCAGCCATTGGCTCCTAACACTTCACCCAGATTTGGTTCTGATTGGTTGGCTTCTATGCCAGTCAGTGTCAAAAGCTCTGCCTCCTAGGCAGCCATTGGCTCCTAACACTTCACCCAGATTTGGTTCTGATTGGTTGGCTTCTATGCCAGTCAGTGTCAAAAGCTCTGCCTCCTAGGCAGCCATTGGCTCCTAACACTTCACCCAGATTTGGTTCTGATTGGTTGGCTTCTATGCCAGTCAGTGTCAAAAGCTCTGCCTCCTAGGCAGCCATTGGCTCCTAACACTTCACCCAGATTTGGTTCTGATTGGTTGGCTTCTATGCCAGTCAGTGTCAAAAGCTCTGCCTCCTAGGCAGCCATTGGCTCCTAACACTTCACCCAGATTTGGTTCTGATTGGTTGGCTTCTATGCCAGTCAGTGTCAAAAGCTCTGCCTCCTAGGCAGCCATTGGCTCCTAACACTTCACCCAGATTTGGTTCTGATTGGTTGGCTTCTATGCCAGTCAGTGTCAAAAGCTCTGCCTCCTAGGCAGCCATTGGCTCCTAACACTTCACCCAGATTTGGTTCTGATTGGTTGGTTTTTATGCCAGTCAGCGTCTCTGGGCCTATCAACGGGGCCTGATCAGAAAGGTGGGGCTGATCAGCAGCCCTGGTGGAGGCCTGGAGAGAAATGGAGGTGCAGCTGCTGGAGAGAAAGAGAGAGGCAAGTGCTTATCAACAGCTGCCACAGAGGCTATGGATCAGACCCTGCTTCTCTCTTCAGGTCTCTCTCTGGGCCTGATTCGCAGCCCCTTCAGCAGTCAGTGCTGGGGCACCATGCCTGCAGCCACGGCAACCCAGTGCTGACTGAAGAACTGACTTCCGGTTGGTCAAGCCTCTGGTCGTGACAGACCTAGGGTTTTTATATATTAGGATTACACATCCATATGAATGGATTATTCAGGCTTTGGGGGCAAAAAGTGACTTTAATTTTTTATTTTTTTGAACCATCAAGATGACATACCGGCAAACAATAATTTCAAAGTCATAAATATTATGAATGTACTCATAATGATAAATGCCATTTATGTACAGGTGTTTTTTTAATGTTCAGGATCTGAGCTCAGAGATGATTTTATAAAGCCTTTTGGAAACATGCAAATATACCACCAACAAAAAACTCTGATCTACATCTGACATATTTATCAACAGCTGAAACGCTCTTTTATCTGACAGAGTAGCCGGGCCTGACAGAGCCATGAGAAGCCTTGCTCAGGAGTTTACAAATTCCACGCAAGAAACAGGTGCTTCCAGCCTTCTGGGCTTTGTTTTTCTGTTGCACGTGTCTAAATGTGTTCTCTAACTTTGTGTCTTCAGCTTGTTCTCTAACTTTACGTTTAGCTTTTTGTATTTGTACTCACTGGAATGCCTGTGAAGGTAACTGGAGGAGACTGCCAGGAGACACTGAAGCTCCTGCCATTGGGGGTGAACTTGGCCGATCCTGGGATGGTCACGGGGGGCGTGGCCTGTTACAGAGCAAACAGAAATGGTCAGGGGGGCGTGGCACGGTACAGAGAAAACTGTTAAGAAAGGTTTTTCCTCAATCTTAGCTGTCATTTACCAAGGTGGGGCCTCAGAAACTATCTCAGCTGTATTAATAACTTAGACTAGTTATCTGATAGGAAGAGATGAAACATGGTCAAAGAGAGTAGCTGGAAAGAAATTCTTTATATATCTAAGAAATCTATCTAATGTATCAAAGGAGATGGTTTTTGACTATTGATTTCGGAATTTTAGGACAGCTGTGAGATATACTAGTCATTTCTCACTATCAAATTTGGAAATAAACACTTTATACAGAGATGGTGGGGTGTAATTGGTACAACATTTGGGAGGGTAATTTGGCAATATATATAAATTTTTAGAATTCTGTATATTAGCTATTCCACTTCTAGAATTCATTCTAAGGAAATGGATACAAGGATGTTCATTGTATTATATATTTTTAAAAATTGGAAACACAAATGTCTAGTAATAGGGAAATGGGTAAATAAATCATGATATACCAACTGAGCCATTACAAATGATGTTGTTGAAGAATACTCAATGACATGCAAAAATGTTCATGAGCCCTGGCCCATGTGACTAAGCAGTTATAGCATCTGTCTGTGCATGGAAGGGTCTCGAGTTCGACTCCAGGTGAAGGCCACATACCTGGGTTACAGGTTCACTCCTGGGCCCTGGTCTGGGTGCATGCGGGAGGCAACCAATCAATGTATCTCTCTTACATTGATATTTCTCTCTTTCTCTCTCTCCCCCTCTTCTCTCCCTTCCCCTTCCCCGGCTTCTACTCTTTCTAAAAATCAATGGAAAAAATATCCTTGGGTGAGGATTAAAAAAAACAAAAACAAAAAACCACCACATTCGTGATATATTCAGTGGGAAAAAACACACAAAGCATAGTAAAAACAGTACTACAATAGATTCCTTAGTTTTTTATACATATACACATAGGAGAAAGTCTTGAAAGACATACCAAAAATATTAACCAAGAGGCTTTCTTGTCGTTGGGATTAAGGATACATTTTCTCTCTCTGCTTCAGTTTTTAGTATTTTCTATGCTGAGCATTTATAATATCTACAGACAGAGAAATCCCAAATATTATGAATACAGGGTTCAGGAAGATCATCAAGTGTGTGTTCCAACCCACTTTATAGATAAACAAAATAATTTCAATAAGTTGGTTCAAGCTCATGATTTTGGACCTAAATGCAAACATGAACAAAGGAATGAATTATTCTTTTTGACCCACATAACGAGTCAGTAATAAAATTTATTGCACCATCAAATCTAATAATTCGCTCTATTCCTTTGCTCTTGAGCTTCAGTCTGCTAAATAAGTGCAAACTCTTCCTCCACAGGTTTAGCTTTTCAAAGGCTCAGTGCAGTTGTGATGATGGTGGTTTTGGCACCACGGAAGTGTTTGGCAATGCTTAGCAGCAGCATCCTGCTCAGGTGGCATCCTCTGACTCACTAATTACTCTTCTGTGACTTCAAAGGAAAAAAAGCTACGGGCACAGAGATGTTCATAGTAGAGTTATTAATGAAAAAACTGGGTAGATCAGGTACCTAGCAATAAGAGAACAATGGAAACAAGTTGACTGAACTTTATGATGACAATGAACTCCGCTACGGGGCTACGGTGTGGGATGCTGTTTTTCTGTTCCTAGGGCAGAATGCAGCTGCTTTTGGTCAGGGGCAAAGTGTCACTCGGGGTCGTGCACGGCACCTGGTAAGCGTGGTCGGTGTGCACGAGGTAGAGGGTGGTAGGGGCTGAGCGGCTCAAGGGCGTCATCAGTTTAGTCTCGGTTTTGGCACCAGGGCTTTCTGTTCTGCTTGAATCCGGGATGGGGAAGATGGGAGGTGAAGCCAGGGACTGGGAGGGCGAAGCTGGGGCCAGGCTGCCCAGTCCGTCTGCCACTGCGTCCGTGTTGAGCTTGATCTCCGTGTAGTAGAAGTCCTCCTCACCATCGCTGTAATCAGAGTCCCCAGCACGCCTAATGCAAAGGACAGCAAAACAGTCAGACCACGCCATCTCGCACGGCTGTGCCCTCTGTCTGGAATGCTTTTCCTGTCCCGTGTCTGCCTGGAAAACTCTACTCATCCCGCGACACTCAACTGTCCACGCCCAGGGAAGACCTCCTTGACCTCTAGAGGAATTTATCCAAACAATCAACCAAGCAGTTACTTATTCAACAATTTATTGATAATCTACTCTGTGTAGGCACTCTTCTAGGGCCTGACCAAGTCGTAGATGGATTCTGCCCTGATGGAAATTACATCTAGTGGGAGAGGCAGACAAGGGAGCCATAAGTAAATAGGTATGTAATGCATCGGGGACTAATGAACGCCAGAAAGAAAAACTAAGCGGCATACGAGTGCCCGTAAGCAGGTAAGTGATGGGGTTGTATTTTAAACTGAGCTCAGAGGAGGTGATGTGAACAGACCTGGATGAGGTGAGGGGAGCTGAAGCCTGGCCATGGGAAGAATACAGTGAGGAGCAGGCAGGCCGGGTGGGGTGGGGGGTGCCTGGTGTCTTCCACCAAGGGCAGAGGCCAGGGGCTGGGCTGAGGGGCTGCAGAGAGGGCGGAGGCAGGGTCAGAGGACTCTGCAGCCGCAGGAACGCTCTGAATGTGACAGAAGCCACGAAGGCTTTGAGGAGTCTCAGTATTTTTGTTTCTTCTTTTTTTTTTTTACATTTTGAAATTGTCATTTATTTTTAAATTTATCTTATTGTTGAAAGTGTTACAGATGTCCCCCTCTTTCCCCCCATTGACCCCACCCCCCAGGCCTTCAACACACTATTTATGGCAGGGGTCCTCAAACGTTTTAAACAGGGGCCAGTTCACTGTCCCTTAGACCGTTGGAGGGCCAGACTATAGTTTAAAAAAAAACTATGAACAAATTCCTATGCACACTGCACATATCTTATTTTGAAGTAAAAAAACAAAACGGGAACAAATACAATATTTGTATTTGCATGTGGCCCACGGGCCGTAGTTTGAGGACCCCTGGTCTATGGGTATGCGTACATGTATATAAGGTCTTTGGTTAACTGCCCGCCCCGCCAGGCCCTGAGATGAAAGGGATCACTCAACATGGACCCAGATGAGCCCCGACAGTGGGAGGGGAGGGGAGTGAGAACCCAGTCTGGGATGTATGCTGAAGGTCAGGATAAGGACTTCACTCCTCAGTGTGCCCCCTGGCGGTGTTCTTTATTTAATTCACGTTATTAAATTACTTCGCACGTTTCTGTAAGTTTTAACCTCTACTGCCTCCTTACAACATTCTCTAGGGCTTTGGTGTCCACAATCAACATGAAATGTCCCCCTGTCCTATCGTCACGACATTGAGCTCATGGTCTAAGGTGAAGGCAGTCCTCTCCTCAGTCCCAGAGAGCGAGAGCTCCTGTGAACCCCGCGGTCCTGGGGGTGCTGGCAGGCTGCGAACCCCAGTCCCAGGGCCTCTGTAGAGCAGAGCACAAAGGGAGCCCGGGGAGCAATGAACTTTGCCACTGTGACAGCATCTGGAGCTCAAAGGGCACGGCTGGCGCCACCTACTCTGCAGATTCTGTTGGGCGGACGGGCACGGCTCTGCGCGGTGCTGGACAGGGTTCGATTCCCTGGGCAGATGGGCTTGACAACAGACCCCCTACATCCTGAGCGTGGCTTCGGGAGGTTCTCGCTGGACCTTTAAAGAAGCGGAGCTATTTCCGTCGAGGTCGTCCTGACATGAGGTCAGGGAGACACGCCCGACTTCCCCCCTGGAGTCCTCAGGAGCAGGACCGGGTGGCTGCCCAGAGGGTGCAGGGTGACCCTGGGCCACACCCACTGGGTGACCTGCACGCTGTGCTCTGGGAGGGACGGGCTGCGTCCGCAGACATCAGCCCCATGGATGGGGAGGAGGTCCCTTCTCTGCCCCACCCACGCAGGTCAGCAGAATCACGCCAGAACCTGGTTATTTCCTTTCTATTCCACTGCGATGGATGCTGCACGTCCTACATTGATTCCTTGCGGGGCAGAGAGACTGCAGTGTCCATTTCTCATCCTGCGGGGAGGACTGCTCTGTGCCCAAGCATCTGGGGCTCGGCATGTGTCTGGGTTTGCCGTCTGCACCCCAGTCAGGACGTGCAGCTTCTCAAGGGCCCCTTTCAGTCCCAGATCCCTGGACAAGAGGGACCCAGAGCCCACAGGCCAAGACTGGGAACCACCGCTGCCCCGGGAGGGCCTCACCAACGGGCTCCAAGCTTTGGCTTCTTTCCTGAGAAAGGTTCTCATAAAACACAAGGAAAGCGACAGAGGCAGGGCACCAGAGGTCATGGCCATCGCAACAGCAGCTCTGATGGGCAGTGGTGCCTTAACCCTTTTCAGGCTCTAAGTCACGAATACTCTCCATCGGGGGGTGGGGGGAAAGCACATCTACATCTGCCCTGCCGCTGTACTTTTACAAATGGCTCGCCCCACATTTTACTTTTGACCTTCACTGTATTGTTAACCTCATCGTCAGAGGAAACCGGGGCGCAGAGCAGTCCCTGACACCCCTCAGTGCAGTAGGACTTTCGGTCAAGGCCTCTGTTATCTGCCCCCCCGCCCCCCCTGCCCCCGTGCCCAGGCCCTTCCTGACTCCGCCTGAGCACTTGTGAGGCACAGGTGCTGGCTGGGGCTCAACGGCG